AAGGATGCTCCCATGTTTGTAGTTGGTGTCAATGAGAAGGATTACAAACCGGATCTTAACGTTGTCTCTAATGCCAGCTGCACTACCAAGTACCAACTGTCTTGCCCCATTGGCTAAGGTGATGATTCTTTTCCTTCAGGTAAAAAAGCTTCTATGAGCAGGGTTATGAAATGATGACTAACCTATATAGATATTGAAAGGTTATCCAGGACAAATTTGGTATTGTTGAGGGTCTTATGACTACTGTTCACTCCATTACCGGTAAGCAATTCCGGATATCTTACTTTCTTCTTGCAAATATTTAAGGCTGACTGATCTATGTCTTTGTAAGTTAGCTACCCAAAAGACTGTTGATGGGCCATCAATGAAGGACTGGAGAGGTGGTAGAGCAGCTTCCTTTAATATCATTCCCAGTAGCACCGGAGCTGCTAAGGTATATCTTGCTTTGCGCTCAACATTAGAATTCTGTAATCCCTGCCTTCCCCTAATAAACATTTGTCAACTTGTTTGCTCTGCCTTGATGGTCATTGTGTAAAGGGTTGAGTCATGCTTTCAAAACTGATATGACTGCCATCTTCATATATAACTATATAGGCTGTTGGAAAAGTTTTACCATCATTGAATGGAAAGTTGACTGGAATGGCTTTCCGTGTTCCCACTGTTGATGTTTCCGTAGTTGATCTCACTGTGAGACTGGAGAAAAAAGCTACTTATGATGATATCAAGAATGCTATCAAGTAAGGCTTGAGATTAGGTGTCTCTTAAATGATATTTTCATTATTGATACTAAAGACAGCATTGCTTCCGGTTGTAGGGAGGCATCCCAAGGACCCATGAAAGGAATTCTTGGTTACACTGAAGATGATGTTGTCTCAACTGATTTTGTGGGTGACAGCAGGTAAGGAACTTTAATTGTCATTTGCTCAATGCATCTTAGCAGTTGTGGTTTTTTCTGTTCCTTGCTAGGTGCTTCTGTTTATTAATAGGAAAATGATGGGTGCATACCCGGATCCCACACTCAGGTGTGCACCCCCCATATAAACAAAAAAAAAAAGCCCATCACCCAATCCAACCTTTTTTTTTATGTGGGGGTACACACTCGAGTGTGAGATCCATGTGTGGATCATGATTAATAACATATTATATTTGTATGCCTTTTTCTCTTCAGATTTATTCCACTTTTCAATTTACTACTGCCTTTTTAAATCTTAGGAATTTTTTTAACAACCTTGATTCATGCCACTCCTGTTTCTCAACAGGTCAAGCACTTTTGATGCCAAGGTTGGAATTGGTTTGAATGACAATTTTGTGAAGCTTGTCTCGTGGTATGACAATGAATGGGGTTACAGGTAAAATCTACATTTCTCAACCTGTACAGTTAATTAGTAAAATGATCATGTACTCCCTGCCTCAAATTTCTGAGGGCTCATTATCTCTGACATTGCAGCTCACGTGTTGTTGACTTGATCTGCCACATGGCTTCAGTTAAATGATTGGCTTTGGAGTTGTCAACTCTATCAGCTTAGCATGAAGTTTAGTTTGTATTGAGGATTAAGGAATAGTTATGACCTTATGGGAATTATTGAGTTGTTTTTTGAATCTTTTCAATGAATTATCTTATCATAGCATTTCAAATAAATTTTTTTGCCAAGAAAATTAAACCATTGCAACACCTTTTATTAATTTATTGAAAATTCTGACGATACTTTAATTATCAGCAAAGAGAAATAGTTTCAAAACTGTATTTGTATATCTTAAAAATTGAATCCGCACACTAATACTGAGTTATAGGTCACTATTAGTTCTTTTCAACCATTTAAGGCCATGCTTGGTTTAGCTGTTTAAGATTAGTTGATAATCAATATTCATTTATATAATTATTATAATAT